CTCCAACGGCTCACGTGAACTAAAACACGTCCATTTATTTTAACCTTTAACGTTTCAAATGTTTATTCTAACGACGACAACACTTCCTGTTTAAGGCTAACGTGCTTCTTAAGCTAATTTAATAAAATAAATTCGGGCTAATCAGGCGAGCAGGTACACGGATAATTTACTTTTCTAGTTATTTCTTGCTCACCTAAACCTAAAACAACAACACTGAGCTGCTCAGACGAGCATTTCCATGGCACACAGCACTTCCTGTTCAAAGTCTTTAAATCCAAAGCACCTACTTAATATTTAGCATTTAGCATTTAGCTAATGAGGCTGCAGAGAAGAATCGCTGCGACTTTCCAACATTTTCAGACCTGAAAGTGTTCAGATTTCAGCAAATCCTCGTAAACACTCCAACCGAGCATCACACAAGCTTCTCGGTGAGCGGTTTCGGGTTCTCCGGCTACAAACCAGGAACTCACCGTCTCGTCTGTTGAGCTTAGCGTTGTGAGCAGCGTAACCGACCGACGACTGGGACGAGCTCTGGAAGGACGAGTGGGGCAGCGCCGACACCAGAGGACCGTTGCAGTTATCTGGAACACAAAGAACACAACGAGAGGCAGTTTAAACTTCACATATCTAAATCGTCGTTCCGTTTATGACCAAAAACATGTAGACAACCTTCATGAAGATGTAATGGTATATCACCAAAAATATGTGGACACCTTGTAGGGCCAGTCCTACACAGATAGCAAGGTTGGAACATTAGGCGTCCACATACTTTTGGCTGTAAAGTTAATTTGAATGGCACAGACCCAAGGAAGCAGCCAAAACCAAACCAGTATTATATACATATATACAGTATATGACCAAAAATATGTGGACACCTTATGGGGTCAGTCCTACCCAAATAACAGGGGCGAAAGTTCCAATTTTTCACAAACCTTTGGCCATTTAATCTGTTTCGCTGACTGAGATGCTCTGAGCATAAGTGGCAAAACAGTATATGACCACAAATATGCAAACTCCCATGAACTGCATGAATTTGTAATGATCCGCAGTCCACATACTTTTGGTCATATAGTGAATTTAAATGGCATGGATCTGAGGAAGCACCTAAAACTAGGTCAGTATTCATACAGGATGTGACCAATAGTATGTGGACATCTATGAGGGAATTCCCTTTAAGATATGCAGGTGGAACATCCAGGTGTCCACATACTTTTGACTATCATATGCATTTATCTGAGCTGTGGGGAAGCAGCAAAAGTGAATGTTGACACAGAATATGACCAAAAGTATATGGACAACACTGCATTGTGATGTGATATTCAGCTGTCCACATACTTTCGGCCGTATATATAAAAATATGTTGACACTCTGCAGGGTCAGGGGTTAATCATCCAGGCGTCCACATACTTTTGAGCATGTTATCTATTTATTTAAATCAGATGTTTTGAGGAAGCAGCAAAAATTAATGTATATGACCAAAAGTATGTGGACACCGTCTAGGGTCAGTCCTATACAGATGACAGAGGTTTCACATCCAGGTGTCCGCATACTTTTGGACAGGTATTGTAGGATCGATTCAGCTGACAGAATTAACAGGAGAATGGAGGAGTTCAACATTTCAAAGCGTCAGCACCGCCTGTCAGCGCCGGTGGAGGTTTAAGGCCAGAACACAAGCGAGCCGCCTCACTTATCCAGTCGTGCGACGCCTCCAACAGTCTATTAACTCGTGCAGTGACCCCCGGAGCTGCCTTTGTGTCGACGCCGTGCTGCCTTTAATCCCACGTTGGGAGATTACATCACGTCCAGCAGCCTCAGCAGCAGCAGCAGCAGCAGATTAAGACGGCAGTGATTTAAGGCTGTCGGTCTGATGCCGTCCAGCCGCCGGCCTCCTCCAACCTCGGCATCAGTCTGAGGACGGAATGAAAACTGGCAGCGGCCTGATTACAATTATCCTCCATCAGCCTGCACTTCACTGCAGCCGCCCTCGCTTTGCACGCCGAGCACATCTGGAGCCGCGATTGGCCGTCCGTCTGAAGCACTACTGACAGCGAGCAGCGTTCTCTGAATTCCTGCTGACCTGATTCGGTGCTCTCAGATCAACTGCCAACAGATTCTTCTCATCCTGATTCCAAGTGTGACTGAAAATGTGTCCGCGGCTTCCTGGTGTCCGCTTACTTTTGACCACGTTGTCAACCCACTGTACACAAACGCTACAATGTGTTCAAGTAAATGACCAAAAATATGTGGACACATTCTGTATATACTGTATTAAGTCATTTTTAGACAAATTTCAAACATTTTTGGACAAGTTTTAGTTTTTTAGGACTTATTTTGAGAACTTTACTGCCAGTTTTGCTGTTTTAGTAATTATAGACTGATTTGTGTGTTTTTGACAGGATTTTAGTTCTAATTTTGAGTAATTTTGTACAAGTTTTGCTTTCTTTTGGGTATATTTTAAGTCATTTAAGACGACATTTAAAGCACTTTGGACAAGTTTGAGTCATTTTTGACCAACTATGAGTCACTTTGAACAAATATGAGTAATTGTTGACTATTTTCAAAGCATTCTGGAAACATTTGGAGTAATTTCTGACAAAATCAGTCATTCTGGAGTAATTTTACACAAATTTTGTATTATTTTGGCCAAATT